CTATCTATCTATCTATCTATCTATCTATCTATCTATATATCTTCAAAGGACTTTTGTCCTGGACTATTTTCTGGCGATGCTGGTCACCCGCTGCAACATTTTATGCCTCTCTGAAATTATAGATTTAAGAAAAACAACAACCAGAGGGGTGATTGAAACCCACCACTCCCACGAAGGCTGCATCTGCACTGCAGAATGAATGCAGTTTGAGACTGCTTTAACTGCCCTGGCTCAATGCTATGGAATTCTTGGATTCATAGTTTTGTGAGCTATTTAGCCTTCTCTGCCAGAGAGCTCTGGTGCCAAAAACAAACTACAAAACCCAGGATTCCATAGAATGGAGCCATGGCAGTTAAAGCAGTGTCAAACTGCATTAATTTTGCAGTGTAGATGCAGCCTACCTCTCAGAATCACCAGCCTTTGGGAGTCCAAAAAGAGATGCGAAAGAGGAAAAGAGAAATAAGTACTCAGAGTCTGCTTTCTGGAGCTGGGAAAAGATCCTTTTTTCACACTCAAATCCAGAATCCAACTGTTGGGAGGTTGTAAGCCACAAAAATTAAATTTCCACATTATGATGCAAATGATCTCTTTGGTGAAAGCATGCTCTCCTTTTAGCTGAAAGGTTTAACATTTTTTAAAAAGCAAACTGAATTGCAGTTGCTGACCAGAGGGCAGGAGGAAGGGCCCTTGGTCTCATGTCCAGTTTTCAGGGTTTTTCTAGAGTTCATTTGGTGGCGTCCTGTGAAAAACAGGAAGCTTTTTCAAGAGATAGGCCTTCTATTTTAGGCTGGGATGTTTAATCTTTGCACATAAGACCGCTGGAGATAAGATGGGTGTGTGTGTGTTTTTGAGAGAGTGTGTGGATGCTGGGTGTTCTTGTAAAAGATGTGGCAGCAAGGTCAGCTGCAGTCCAAATGGGACTATGGAAGATTTCTAACCAAGACATTTGGGTCCTCCAGATTGCTATGAATCTCATAACACTAGCCTAATTTCACAGGACATTTTCTCTATCTAGATTTTGGTCCTGGAAATGTAGGATCCTTTTAGCCAATCATATATCTATTGGGTAGGATGTCAGAGAATCTCCTTCTTTGGAGGTCTTTAGACAGAGGCTGGATGGCCATCAGTTGGGGATGCTTTGATTTTGAGTTCCTGCATGGCAGAAAGGGGTTGGACTGGATGGCCCTTGGGGTCTCTTCCAACTCTAGGATTCTATGATTTTATGTGCAGAATTATTGGACAGAAATATGGTAACACTGGATTTCCCCCTCTACTGTCCCACTCCGAATTGGATTAAAAAAAGACATTGTGTAGCTTGACATTGTGGTATTTTCCTTATTCAAGAATCAGCATACTTCCTGAGTCAGGATTGGGGTTTGGGTAGGAGAGATTTGAAACCACCCATCTGTTTGGGTTTTACTTGACGTTTCAAAAGGAAATTTTGAAAAACCCCAGTGGAAGTTTCCCCCTCACTTTAAAATCCTTGTGCAAAAGATCCCACATTTTAAAATGAAAAAGCAAACAAGCCACAAAACAGGTGGCAGATGTCACCCAACTGCATGTGGATCGAGGCTGTGTCTTCTTATTTCCAAGTAAAGAAAAAAGAGATTTTAATTGACACAGGACATATTTAATATACAGTCGTTGTCCTGAGTAGTTCAACACAATGCTGTTCCAATATGGTACATAGTGTCATAAAGATAATTCCTACTAAAAGAAGATAAGGTAAAACACAGTCTGCTTTTGAAGCACTTTGGAATTGTATCCGTACAGCAGGTGTATAAATAGCGAGGTCTTTATAGTGCATGACTAAGAACATTTAAAGCCGCTATAAAAATCTGCAATTTCCTGCAGATAATGCTTTTGTGCAGGTGATACAATGTAGAATAGTTCCCAGTAATGACACCCCTGTATCCCATGAGGTTTCCCCTCTTTTTCTGAAAAGTACAAAAGACTGATAAGAGATTCTCTCCTTGGTCTATATGGTGAAATAAACTGGAAAGGAAGGAGATTCTGCCAAATGTTAGGGAGAACTTCCTGATGGTGAGAACATTTCAGTAGTTGAATCAACTTGGAGGGACTGCATTTCACTTTGGTTAGAAGCTTTAGGATATGTAGGACAGCCTGTCTTGTAGGGATGCTTTAGCCCTGACTTCTTTTGCTGATGGGGTTGGAATAGATGACCCTTGGGGTTCCTTCCAGCTGTACAATTCTGTCTTTAGATGGCAATCCTAAGTGAGAGACAAGATTCTCAACCTGATTGCAACCAAAGCCACTTTCTGTTTCCTCAAAGGGATTGTTAAATATCTTGCCTGGAGCTCAGCTAAAGGCATCCATCCCTTTAAAAACCTCAAGATCCATACATTCTCTGCAAATATGGGTGAAAGTCCAGGTCTAACATTACCTTTGCCTGAGGATTTTCTTCTTCTCAATTCTAGCTTCCCAAGCTGACAAACATGTTTCGTTTATAGCCGCTCTATCTTCCCCGGCATCTTGGTCCCCTTCCAGGCATTAAATCAATAACACCAGTGTTTTCCTCAACCAGGAAATATTCACCAAAACACAAGGAGAGGTTTTTTTAAAAGATGTTTTTTCCTCCATTTTTTAAAAACAGCATACAGTGCAGAGTGTTGGAGAAAAGGAGCTTTATTTGGTAGCTGGTATCCAAACCAAGTCAACCCTGTACTGACCCATAAATGCTCCAAGACAGCAACCACTTTTGCAGGCTCCCAAGGAACATCTCTGGGAAGAGCGGTTTCCCTGCAAGAAGAGCTGCAGGTAAGCATTTATGGGGTTCCCCCCCCCATAAATTTATTCATTAGAAGCACTAATAGTGGATCCTTCAGCTGAAAAGGCCACATAAGATCCTTTTTAAAAAAAAGAGATTGCCTACTCCCAGTGGTTTGCAATCTGAAAGACATGGCAGTAGAGGAAAGGGAGAGGAGGAGGGAAGAGGAAAACAAAGAAAGTCAGGCACCCGTTCTTTGTTTTTGTAGCCCCTGATTCATTCAGATTATCCCTTTTTTCTGTTCCAAAGGTGAATTGCTTCTTCTGAAAGCCCACAAGTGCAGCAAAAAGTCACCTTTGTAGAGCCCAGTCTACACTGGATCCCATTAAAACACATTTTTCTTTTCTTTCCTTTTTAAAACGGACTTCAACCACTTTCTTTTGGAGGTTTGGGACCGTCTGGCTTTTTGGCAGCCCTTGTGGCCAGTAGTGGCTGCTTCACTCCCACCCAGAAACCACCTTGGATTTTAGTCCAAACTTTCAGGGAGCTAACCAGTGTGCTCAGTTGTCTTTCCTGGAGCTTTCTAGTGGGCTGAATTTTGCTGCTTGAGAGCCTGTGTGGTGTAGTGGCATGAGTGTTGGACTACAACTCTGGAGACCAGGGTTCAATTCCCTGCTTGAGCAAGTCACACTCTCTCAGCCCCAGGGGAAGGCAATGGCAAACCTCCTCTGAACAAATATTGCCAAATGAGAGGGTCACCTTAGGGTCTCCATAAGTCAGAAATGATTTGAAAGCACACAACAACAACAGAGCTCCATTAAAGTTCAGACTAAAACCCAGAGTGGGTTGTTACTCACACAGACTTGGAAGCCACTGGCTAGACTGAAGGCAGCAAATTGACCCCCCAGACCCCCCCCACCAAAGATCTCCACCTTTGTACTGAAGCACTGCATGTGCCTCTTTGTCAAGGGTTCATTGGATGTTGCTGAGCTCTTGCAGAGATACTGTTTCTTGCAGGTGGAGAGTATGCAAGAGAACTTCCCAGCCACTTGAGGCTCATGTTTCTGAACCCATGCAGGGAGATAACCTTTGGAGTTCTGACTTTAGGCAGGTAGATCTGCTTTATCATCCCATGATGGAACTGAAGCCCAAACCAGTTCAACTTGTCTGTTTGTCTCTCTATCGTGGTTTTAATCTCTGGATCAGTTGCTCTAATAGGTGACCCTGAAAATGAAGCCCTGGAGGATTGATGCTTGGGGATTCTTTTTTTGCTGCTTTGCGGCCTCTTGTGAAAGCCGCCAGTTAGGTGAGGGTCTTGTATCTCACTTGCCATCTTTGCCTTATCTCATGCTTAGCCTCTGAAGAATCCAAAGGAAGAATCCCAGAGAAGTCACCTGGTTGAATCCAAACATGGAGAAATCCCTGCAGGGCTTTACAAAGTCCGAGTGGCCACTGGGACGTTTTGGGGTTCGGGGACCTTTGACGCCATCTCCATCACTCTGGTGGGCTCCAGGGGAGAGAGTCCCAAGCAGCGCTTGAACAACATGGGGAAAGACTTCATCCCAGGAGCGGTGAGAACTGTGGGTTTCAAAGGGAAAGGTACAAACAAGGAACAGGTCTCTGCCATGAATCCACCCTTCTCTTGCAGAGCGGTCCAGCATATATAAATATATTGGCCTACTTATTGTCACATCCTGCAATCTGGGAAGAATGGCCAGGGCATTGGTGGTTCAGGAGTGGAATTCTCACCTGCAAGGCGGAAGGCCTGAGTTCGATTCCTGACCAGCGCAACTTAGCTGTGGAATCTAGCACTGGCAGGGGGTTGGAATAGATGGCCCTTGGGATCCCTTTCGACTTTAAGATTTTAGGAAGGGGGAAGAGAGGCAATCTTTTCCCCTATCTCTCTGCCAGCTTTTCCCCATCTTTCTGCAATTCTTTCTCCTATCTCCGTGCCATCTTTCCCCTGTCTTTCTGTAATCCTTTCCCCTATCTCTCTGCCATTTCCACCCTTTTTCTCTGCCATCTTTCCTTTATCTCTCTGCAGTTTTAGCAATCCTTTCCTCCATGTCATTCCCCCCTCCCCATCTTTCGGCAATCCTTTCCTCTATCTCTCTGCCATCTTCCCCTTATCTATATGCCATTCTTTTCCTATCTGCCTTCTGTCAGAGACAAGCCCCAGTTTTGTATCCTCTCTCCCCCTTCACAGCATCCTATTTGTTCTTAACAGCCCTTGAGTCAATCTCGACTCATGGCGACCCTACAGATGAGCCATCTCCAAGACCCCCTGTCCTCCACTGCTCTGCTTAATTCTTGCCACCCCTTAATACTCATAGGGACCTCCTTAATAAGTCATCTTGGCTTCCAGGGAGGTTTCCAGCTTGATCTGCAATAGGACCCATTTTTTTGTCCTTTTGGATGTCCATGGGATCCTCAGCACTCTTCTCCAGTCCCACATTCTCTCAAATGCATTGTTTTTTCTCCTATCTTCTTTCTTGACTGTCCAGCTCTCACACCCATCCATGGGAATAGGGAGTATGATGGCTTGTTTGATTCTAATTTTTGTGCTGAGTTGTATATCTTTGCATTTTAAAATCTTTTCTAGTTCTTTCATAGCCACCCTCCCCATTCTTAGTCTTCTTCTGATTTCCTGACTGCAATCCCCATTTCTATTGATCCCAGGTATGGGAGTTCTTTTACTATTTCTATTTCTTCATTGTCTAGTTGAACTTGTGAAGGTCCTTGATGGTCATTATTTTTGTTTTCTTTATGTTTAACATTAAGCCTGCCTTTGCACTTTCTTCTTGGATCTTCCTTAGTAGGTGTTCCAGGTCTGTGAGGTTTTCTGCTGGTATTATGGTGTCATCTGCATATCTCAGATTGTTGATATTCCTTCCTCCTATTTTCACTCCTCCTTCTTCTGTGTCCAAGCCTGCTTTCCTTAAAATATATTCTGCATATAGGTTGAACAGGTAGGGTGAAAGGATGTAGCCTTGTCTGACTCCTTTGCCAATTGAGAACCATTCTGTTTCTCCGTCTTCTGTTCCGACAGTAGCCTCTTGTCCTGAGTACAGATTCCTCATCAGGACTATCAGATGTGTTGGCACTGCCATGTCTTTAAGGGCGTTCCATAGCCTTTCATGATCTATGCAGTCAAAGCCTTTGCTATAGTCTATAAAGCACATGCTGATTTTCTTTTGGAATTCCCTGGTGCACTCCATTAGCCATTAATTGTTTGCAATGTGATCCCTAGTGCTTCTTTCTTTCCTGAACCCTGCTTGGACCTCTGGGATTTCTCTCTCCATGTATGTTGCAGAATTTTGAGCATGATTTTGCTTGCATGGGAGATCAGTGCTATGGTCCTATAGTTGCGACAGTCTCTCGTGTCTCCCTTTTTGTGAATGGGCATGTATATTGATCGCTTCCAATCTGTTGGTCACCATTTTGTTTTCCATATCTATTGACATATGTTGGTTAGCACTAGAGTTAACTTTGTCAATGTGGATTGGAGCAGTTCAATTGGAATATCCTCTGTTCCATGTGATTTTTTTTCACTATTTCTCTTATTGCAATTTCCACCTCACTTTTTAGAATTTGAGGTTCATCTTCATATGGCTCTTCATTCCATTTGTCATCTCTTTTGTATAATTCTTCTGTGTATTTCATACAATGTCTTTTTATTCCTTCCTGGTCTTGAATTACATTATTTTTATTGTCATAGATCATCCCAGTCCTTGGTTTGAATTTTCCTTTGATTCACACAGCATCCTATGACCCCCCCCCCCCTTTTCCCAGTTCACTCATTTTTCATCTGGACCACTCACTGTCCTTTAACAGTTGTCTGACAGGCTGAAATTCAGCAGGTGCTGCTTTCAGCCAACATGGAGATAGAGCAATGGGGTCTTCCCTTTTCTTTTTTGCAGGTGGATGAATATGAGGTGGCCAGTGACCAAGACCTGGGTCCAGTCCTCCTGGTCCGTCTCCACAAAGACCCCTACCTCTTCTTCCCAGAAGACAGCTGGTACTGCAACTTTGTCCAACTGAGGACACCCCAAGGAGAGACCTACCATTTCCCCTGCTACCAGTGGATTGAGGGCTACCGGACCCTGGAGCTGAGGGAGGGCACAGGTGAGATGCTAACAAATCCACTGCCCCCTCCAGTTTCCCAGATAGATGCGGTACAGAACCTTCTCCCCTGTGATGGTATGGAGCAGAAAATCCATTTCTAAACACAGCTTATAATAAAGCAATAATACTTTTTTTAGATTACAACTCCCAGAATCTTTCAGTCAGCCTGGGCAATGACTCATTGGCTCGGGGGGTTCTGGAAGTTGTATTCTAAAAAAATGAAAATAAAAATACCCAATTTTTCCCAAGGTTTGTTTCCATTTTACTAAACTTCTTTGACCTGTAAGAAGGCATATCCTGCATATGGTCTTTGTACCCTCTGACAGTCCTAATTAATCCTCTGCCCTCCCACTTTTTAAGCTGCATTTAAAATGTTCCAGTTTCTTTCTCCTCATCCCACTTTCCCCCTTTATCCTTAGCTTACTTCAATTGGAACAAACTGAGTTCAAAGCATACAGGTAGTTTGCATTAAATTTACTTAGTGGGGAGAAGTAAGGAGAAAGCAGAATCATGCCCTTCTCAGGCAAAAGCAAACTGCTGCAGCCCCTCTTAGCTTGTCTTTTCTTCTTCATGCTTCCTCATGCTGTCTTGCCCACGTTCTGTTGTTGCTTGGATGCCATGTGTCAGGACAGTTTTTCTCAGTTTTCATTCAAGAAATGTAGGAGAGTATGGTGGTACACAGAGGCACACTATTTTGAAGGCAAGGATGCTAACCAGGGCCTTAAATCAGGGGTAGAAATCATGCAGCCCTCCTGATATCATTGAACAGCATCTTTATGCAAGATCCTAGCCAGCACTGCCAATGACAAAACTCAGTGGCATACCTAGTATATTTGACACCCAGTGCGGATCATTTTTAGTACTCTCCATCCTCTCTTCAACAGCCTTTTATGGGTCTGGCGGAACTGCTGTCTGGGTCAGAAAAGGAGACAGCAAAGAAGCCAGATCCAGAATTTCAGCACCCCTTTCCACCAGTGCACTGGATGACACCCCCCTCTGAGGTGTCATCCGCACCCCCCAGACCAAGCTAGTGATGCCCCTGGAATAGCATTCAGGGAGTTACAGTGCAAAGACATCTGGAGGCCTGCATAATTCCCACCTCTGTGGCTTTAAAGCCCTGTTGTTGAGTAGGGTGCTTAGTGTCTGTCCCAAATTCTATCTTGACAGCAGCATCTCTGAATGTTTTCCATGCAAACTTGCAAAAATGAACAAAAAAATCCATTCCTGTCCCTCGCTTCTCCCCATCCAGGGAAACTGGTATGCGATGATGTAGGTGCCCCATTGCTTCTCCAGCATCGGGTAGAAGAGCTGAAGACCAGACAGGACTCTTACAGGTAAGGAAGGGGACTCTGGACTCAAATAGTCACACCCTGCTTGGGCTCTGGGCCCATTTTCCTGACATTCTTTCCAATGCAACAGTCTTCTGTCTTCCTGCCTCCTTCCATCTTGCTATTTTTGCACACTTGCAAATTATCAGAGGGTTTTTTCCTAAACAAATATTCTTCCTCAAACACAGCCAAATGAAATATGTTTGCTTAACTTTACACCATGGCTGGTG